AAAGGAGCAGGTACAAAAGAGGAGAGCAAAGTGGCCAATTGAACTTAAGCTCTATTGATTTTCTTGATCCAAGCATGGAGAAGAAATCGATGGATGGAAACGTGCTCACCTGAATGACTGATAGAGAACTGCCACTTTCTGAGTGGCCTCCTCCAGCACGCGTTCATCCTGAATCCAGTCCTGCAAACACAGTTAGGTTTCATACAGCTAGAGTGTAAAACAAAAGAGCAAAAGTAACTTTCTCTACTGAAGAAAATAAAAAAAAAAACAAAATACTTACAATAGGGAATAGTGCAAACTTCTGAAGAAATTCCTGGGAGTCGTATCGATTGAAGTCTCCAAAGTCAGCTGTTGGCATCAAAAAATAAGTGAGTACAGTTCATCACATAAACTCTGAAACAAAACTCTCAGAACTCATTTCCTCACAGCACTTTACATTTTTAACAAGAAAACCCATAAAGAACTTCAGTAGGGTGTAATACAGCACTGCATGACGGTCTAATTTTAGAATTGGAGCGATCCATTTTGTTTTGTACCACTGTCTGAAAAACATATTAGCAGCTTCAGGTTGTTTTACTAAGAACAATCACAGATGTGTTCAGTTTTTCAGATACGAGTACTGATGGAAAGTTATAACTGACAGAAGCAAACTAACAGTTTTCGAGTTAACATATCAAATTACAGTGAAGAAATCCAAAATCAAATGGAAGAACTTGACAGACCAGATGTTGACATTCAGAGGCAGCGAATTGCAAGAATCACAAACGGACTTTACTCTACATAAAAAGTACTTTTTACCAGCTGCTTACAAAGCTGACTTTTAAACAGAAGCTCTGGGTGCAAAAATGCTGCACTTACCTATTCCTGGAAAACAAGCAGCATTTTTATTAAATCAAAACAAGTCAGCCATCCAAAACTGACTATGAAAATGTTTTCCTGAGCAGCATGAGTAATTTAAAGTAATTTATGACTAATTTGGTGTTTTGTTTAATAGGAATGAAGAAATACACCAAGAGGCTCAAAATGATTTTTTAGTGTGTTGCATGTAAACGGAGTAAGGGCCACACAGGAACAGAAAATCTTACATTTCTGGCAAAAGCCTAAAGGTGCAGATTTTTACCTTGTACTGCTAAACTGGCTAAACGAATAGCCTGGTCCAGGGAGCATGTGATCCTGCCCTCTAGAACATCCTTCTTCAGCTGTAGGTAATACTGGTATCTGTGGGACAGTGACATGGAAGCAAGAGCAGAGCAAACACAATCAAAGTACATTATCAATCTGTCTGACAGAATTTCCAAGAACTCAAACCAGAACTCTTGAATCATTGTTTCTTAAACGTTTACATCATGGGAGTTGTGGTGGGTTTCTGAACTTCACCTGGTGAACTCCTGTTGCAGTTGGGTAACACTGGGTATGTAAAACAAAACTCCAAAGTAAACTGTGGGCTCCTGCCCATATTTGTCCAACTGTTTCTTTAACGCTTTCTCCAAGTCGATCCATCTCTGCTGGTTCTGCTTATTGAAGTACCACAGACTGAAATATGTGATCTACAATATACAGACAAACAAGAACAAATACACATTAGCCACAGAGTGGTGAAGACTTTACTTTTAGTTTCTCCTGGAAATTTGAAACCTTTAAAATTCTGACTCAGTGCTGTTTCTATGACACAGACATTTGGAATGGTTTCATTTTTTTTTAAATAAAATAACTAGAAAAATACAATTCATACCAAGTGTTAGATATTGTTCCCATTAAAGTAGCGCGCTATGATTGTGTGTACATTAGTTAAATGATATATTCCAATATTACACTGATTTGGAAAGAAATTGCTTGTCTGTCTCTTCTGTTCAACTCTGGAGTTTCAAGAAGGAGTCTGACTGGAGGACAGCCTAACCAAAATACTTTACTGCTGAGATAGCAAGTCTGAAAAGGAACAATCAGTATTTGTATTCAATGAAAACCCATACATACCTCTCTTAACTCAAGTCTCTGGGCTACTGCCTCCAAACATTCCTGCCCAGTGCTCTCCACAGACAGCGTAAACTCAACAAACTCTCCATTCAGAAGCTGAATCCGAGTGACAAGACAGCTCTTGCTTGAAACAGTATACCTTCGAGTCCTTTTGAGCTTAAAGCCAAATGGCAAGGGCATGATTTACTCGTTTCACAGGTGGCGTTGTCTTGTCGTCCAGAGGAAGTACACCCTCCTGGTGTTCGCTCCAATACAGTGAGAAAGTTTCAAGTCACGAGAATCATCATTTAATGTCAGCTCTGATATGTGAGAGGAGAAAGACAAAACACGCACTGAATGCAAGCGAATAGAGGGATAAGAAAACACAACATGACAAAAAATATTTCTTGCTACTTGTCACAAAGCAACTCTATTACTACCCTTAGTAGCCTCAACTCTCGCTATCCCTGAGCACTTATTTCAGGCAGTGGTTAAAATACTAAGAAGCTAAAACAGCATCAGTTTTCTCTCTAATTAAACTATGTGACTAAACAAATTTGTTTGTATCATGTCCACAGCAATAAACCCTGCAGCAAAAGACAGCATACTGTTTTTTTTGCATGTTGAAAAACAAATAATTTAATGTCAAAAGTACTTTAATGACAAAAAATAAGTTTATTGCTTTAAATATGAGGGATAGAAACGTAATGGAAGAGAGAGCAACGGAGAAAATGACACTAATTTCCAATCACTGTCATAGCAGAAGCACGTTTTCCTAACTCTGAACTGAATACGCTAAATTTTGTGTATCTGCTGATTTATTTTTTGCAAATGTAATGTACTAGAACAAATTAAGGTAGACATTTGACTGTTTTTCTTGATTTTGTGAAAATATATTTTAATCAAAAAATCTGACCGTATTCCAGTATTCATTTATTTTTGTTTGAGCAAAATGCAAATCTCACACAAAATATTGGTATGCATTAAACTATCTGAGCTAGTGTTACATTTTCATATTGATTTCCAAAAATTAAAAATAAAAAAAAAATTAAAGTGTTCTGATAGAAAATATCAGAACACTTTAAGATAGAAATTACAGTCATCATTGGTCAAGAAAAAAATAAAGGAAAATAAAATATGATGCCTGAAAATATTTACATTTGTGTTTTCCCAGTGTGTCCCTAAAATATCTGGGTAACAACACAACTTCTTCCGGTGGCTTTTTCCCAATCCACCGGAAAAAAAGGTTATAGCTCCTCTCATGGGTCAGCAATCTTTACAGTACAAATTTCTTCCTTTGCTTCTAATAAATTAGTCTTGGGCTATAAAACATACATAACCTGTCGTAAAAATTACTTTTTGTGTAAATATAAATGTTTTATATCAGTTATCTATATTATTATTTAAATTAAAGAAATATACACTCAGCCAATGTTTATGATTGAGAATAAACTATTTTTCATAAACTGAACATGTCATATTTGTGGAAAGGGTTAGTATTAGGGTTATATACAGTTTCCTCTTTAAACATGGAAAAAAAGAAAACATTTTAATACTTATGTCATTCTGAGGTACAACATTATGTAGATCTTTCATGAAAGCACAGAAAACTGCTAACCGAACGTTGTCTTTATGTTTATATATTTTTAAAACTGCTCAGTTGTAAACATTATTTTTTTCCAAAGTTAGTACGCAGCATTTGGGAGGGCCCTGATGCTCCCGGAGCTGCAGCTGCAGACTCCTTACAACCAGGGGTGAGAGGTGAGGAAGAGTGATTCATTTCAAAATGTATGATACTTGTGGGATAAGTCATTTCTTCTGGCGTCATCATCCAGACAAACACAGTTTTACGTAACCTTCGAAGCTGCATTTTCTACTTTACAAATCTTGTTGACAAGATTTTTTTTTTTTAATCCCTCCTTCATTCAGTTTTTAGCTGTTCAAATTCTCATTTGGAAGGAAAAAACATATAGTTGCACAAATATTTTAATTCCACCGCCTGACCCGCGGTCATTATTTTTCAGGCTGTTGCTTGGATAATCCCCTCCCGGGAAATAGCCTTGTCCTACAGCAAGAACCTGTGATTCGAAAAACATACTAAAACAAAAACAGTGCCTTTCCATTAACTCCACGCAGTTTCAATCTCACGCTCTATTAAATAATTATAATCGCTATATTCAAATTAGCTGTATAAATAATGTGGCGTCTTCTGTAACTAACCCCATTTTCCAATGCTATATTTTAAAGTCATTAAATTCACCAGCCAACTCCTGCTAGCTAGCCAGCTAATTTCTGCTCCAGCAAATAGACGACACCCTCGGGAGGCTGACGTCGCCGGTAAATATTTTGAGAAGAAAAAAGGTGTTAACTTTACCGTTAGCCAAGAGATGCAATTTAAAAGTCCAAATTATATCAGCTCCTTAAAGATTTCGTCATCGATGCCTGCTGAGATAAACTCTTCTGCTACTTTTTGATTTTGAGTGAGACTTTTACGAGACTGTAGTTAGTGCGTAGACCTGAACTAAGACAGCGACTCCATGCCTCTCTTGGCCCAACAGTTCGCTCGAGTTCCAAGCGTGTTTCGCTTCCTGGGATTGGAAGAGCAACAAGTGGACTCTGTCTTCCTCCGCGCTGCTGTATATTTAGCACATGCGTTTGAGTGCCCACCTACATTTCCAACTGAAGCTAAAAACACTAGAAGTCTACTCGGAATACACACAACATATGTGGGTGTTAGTGTTTTATTTGAAAACTCATTCAAATTCGTTGTAGTCCCTTAGCGGCGGAGGAATATACGGGGCTTTTCAGTGGCATGACCTCAGACAGCTGGAATGCTGAGCGGCGAAAATGCCAGAAATGGGACAGCTGTCACGAACTGCTGTCCGCGGACATGTTTGTTTACCTTTTGCATCGACTCGCAGTTCACCTAGTGACTTTAATCACACACACGATGCCGTCCAAAGTTTTATTTGTTTGCTTAAACTTCCCAAGACGCGATCATTAACTTTATACGAGCGTTTCAAGACACAGATGAAAACTTGCAAAACTCAAGAAGAAACAATTTATTGCAAACAGAAGACACGTTCTGGTGAAGCTCGTAAAAGCTGCATATCAAACGCATAAAAAGGCAAACTTAACAAACGTATGGACTGTTGCTTTTTATTAATACATAGTTAAAACAAGTGCCTATGCTACAGCTGCACATGGGCGTATGAGTGGGCAATGCAAATAAACTAACGGGGCTTTTTCTGATAGATGCCATTTTAAAGTTTTCACATAAAAAGTTTTTTTTTTTATGTTAAACTATTTCACACATCTAGGCTTCAGAAATCTGCATATTATTATTTTTTTAAATAACACTGATAATAGCTCAACTACAATTATGGTCAAGTACAACCCCAGTTTAAAGACTTCTCAAAACAACAGGAACATTTTCATTGAACTTTAAAAGAAAACAATTCATTAAAAAGACTAAAACACAAATGAAACACCTTCTTGATGTGCCTTGTGAGACATAACCAGTGCTAAATGACTTTCACAAATCTTCAAGAATACCCTCTTCTTTCTGTTCAGTCTGAAACAACATCATCCGAGAACCAAATATAAAAACCACATTCAATCCCTGAGTACAGCACAGCTCAGAAGTCATCGTCACTGACGTCTTCATGTTGGTTTGAGTTTGTCTCTTCAGCAGCTACTGCGTTTTCAGAGTCTTTTTTGCTAGACATATGTAAGGACTCTGACAAAATGTTTCCCAGATTCTCTGTCTCCTTAGACGGCTCATCACTTTGGTTCACATCACTGCTCATGGTAGTGTGCTCATAGTTTTCATTCTGGACATTCATTTCAGTAACATCAGTCTGAAGAAAGTCCCCTTGGCGGTCTTGACTACTGTCTAAAAGATCACTGCAACAAAACGTTAAGCCAACATCTTCTTCATCATTCTCCTTCTTCTCGTCCTCTGCCCTCGTTTTGGTTGAAGAAGCAGTTTTTACAGGAAAGCATGGGCGTGTAGAAACCCATGAAAGATCGTCATAATCTGACAAATCGGGATGATTAATTTGTAAGGCACGGGTAATGGCGTCATCATCTTCTTTAGTCTCTACTGGCTTGGGCCCAAATTCAAAATTCGAAAATACAGAATCTAGTAAAGCTTTCCCATGTTTCAGAGGATCTTCAGTTGAGGAGGATATGTCGGATCGTTCCTCAAATTCATTACGCAACACTTCCAGAAGATGGCGCATTTTACCCTAAAAAATAAGCATAGTAGGATCTTCTTAAGCGGTAAACAATACTTACTTAACATATTGGGTATATCATTTAAGTTATACAGTTACCTCATCAAGCCGATGCAGATTCTTTTCAATATGTCGATTCATCACCCGATTGAGTATCCTTTCAAAAACATAGATATATTAAACTATTAAATATTCTATCAAAGTGATAGATCTTGAATTTAACAATCAGCAATCAATAAAATGAGACTTCTATATCCTTCCATCTATCATCCAGGATGAAAAATCCATCCCATATTCATACATGGTTTTCAAAAGTAACAAGTTTGACACAGAGTTGTTACTTTTAATGGATTTTCAATCCAACTTTTATTGCAACTTTGCATTAAAAGTGTCATTATTTACCGAATGACACTTCATGACAACAGTCACAGACATTCATAAAGACTCCTTCATGTTCCTGGCAGATGTTATGTCCTGTTTATGACCGTGTCATGTCAGTCTTATGCACATCCCGCCAAGTGTTACCACAAAGGGCATCAAGAAAACCAAGACAAACACCAAAATGTTCAGGGGTAATTATGCATAGTGGTTTAAAGGAAGTTTAGGTTTTAAGAAGATTTCCCAAACCTTTGGCGTCTCACAGAGAACTGTTTAAATCATCAACAGAAGATGGAAGGATTATGGCACAGCTGCAAACCACAAAAACACTGCCACCTCTAATGACAGGTCAGGCTTGGTAAACATTAAACAGAGAAGTAGCCAAGAGGGTCACAGTCACTATGACGGAGATCCAGAGATCCAAGACATGGGTAGAGGAATCCATTGACTGTTATTATTAATGCGTTTCCCAAATCTGACATTTATGGATGAGCAGCAACGGGAAAGTCATTGTTTTAATAGACCGTTTGCAGTTTGTCATATGCCATGTTGGGAACAAGACCCTCCAGTCAGATGGAACCAAAACTGAACTTTTTGCCCAACATGTAAAACCCTATGTCCCAATGTCATCACCTTAAAAGCAACCAAACCTTAAAGCAGGACTTGGCCCCAAACATACATTCAGAGATAAAAAAGGAGCAGCTCAGATCACATAATTCTCATATATTACTGGAGTTCAAGTTTGTACCTAAAGTTAAAATCTTTAACAGGTCTTGAAAATTGTGTTTACAGATGTTCTTTATTCCATCTAGTTAAGGTACTAAATACAGTCCCCAATAGACTTCCACCTCTAATTGTAGTGATAATTGGTTCAACAAAGTATTAACTCAAAGGGGCTGAACATAAATGCATGCCATGCTTTTCTAATCTCTATTAGAACAAATTTTGAAAACCATGCGACCCTTTCCTTCCACTTCACAATTCTTCTCCTTGTTGTGTTTATTTTGTGCTTTTTGTCCATCATATACAACAACCCCAATGAAATATTTAGTGATTGTAATGGGACAAAATTTAATAAAGGTCAAGAGCAATGAATACATTTTCAAGAGAATATAAATCTGTGGCAAAGAAAATTAAAAAGAAACCTGTCAGAGATGTGGGCCCTGGACAGGATATCCTCAGTCACAGAAGAAATGAATTCAAGGTACAGCAATTCTTCTTCTCTGTTACCAAACAAATATAAACGTTTTAATTAAAGGTGTTAATTTTCTTTACAATTTGTAGTTTGTCAAAGTATTATCATTTGGCCACGCTTGTAAATTTTGTGTGCCGCAAATATTTTTTTTGTCTAAACCTAGTCTGTTTGGATACCAAGGGGAACTTACTCTGCCAAGATAAGGCTTCTAATAGGGGACTTCCCAACTTCTGGGGAGAACCTACAAAAGCAGGACACAAGTATACTTGAACTTTTTGTCAACTTATCTAGATAATATCTAAAACAAATGCTACAGGTCTAACCTAATGATTTGTTTCACCTGGATGAGGAGTCAAAGAAAGAATTGTCTTTGCTTTTTGTTTTATGCTCATGTTGCAATGGTGATAAGTATGAGCCAGTGACCTCATCTTCAGACCATTCATGCTCTGTGGAATATTCCTGTAAAACAAGACAGAACAGGAAGTGAAAACAGGCGAGATTTTGTGTCATTATAACTCATCTCTGTTGTGGAAAGTATTTATCCTAACGGTTTCTGCTTTGGTTTTCTTTGATATTTCACCACAAGCCATTGTTGAGAAAAGCAGCCAGCACAGGTTTTGCATGACCCACTCACAAGAGGGTGATAAAGTGAAAAAAAAAAAAAACACATGAAGAACAGAATCATTACCAATAGCATTGGTTCATGAATTCATTTTCGATAAATTATAAAAGTTACTTTTAAGAAAAAGGATTTTTAAAAGGATTTCATAGCCCTTAAGACACAAATAGACAAATAAGTCAAGTTCAGGACATTATTTACTGGACAGTGTGACACAACCCAGTCCTCAGGTCCTGGCATCCTGCAACTTTTACATGCATCTCTGGTCCATCGAACTGGAATCAACTTAATCAAGGACTCTGAAGAACATGATCCCATGCTAAAGGGTACGTCATCCATTAGATGCAGGAGTGTAGGATCAGAGAGCCACCTGAACTTTGAAGGGCCCTGACCCTCAGGGACAAATTTCTCTTCAAGATCAAATATTTAAACTTACCTGGGATGGCCCATCAGGTTTTTCAGTGTATTCTTCGAGGTCTGAGCTGCATAAAAAGAGAAAACAATTACACAGATGGTAAAAAAAATATATATATTTATAGAAAAACAGTCTTTTTCATATTTTATACAACTTCAACCACAAACTTTAATATATTTGACTATATAACGTTTGGTGTTAACACGAGAGGCATAATTGAGAAAACAGCTATATTTATTAAATTACACACAGACAGATTAGTAACAATTAGATGACTTTCTAAGGCAATTGGATGCACCGGATTGAATTTAGGGGTGAAAAGGTCAATTGCTTATCAGATTGATAGGCAATTCTTTGGCACTATGTATAATTTTTTCCCCACTTTATAATTATGCACAATATTGGGTTAGTCTATTGCAATAAAACCTACAAAAACACATTAGTTTGTGGTTCTGATGTTACAAAATGTGAAAAAGTTTCAGAATTTTGCAAAGCACTGTATTTAAGTCACTATTAGATTACTTGAGAAATTATTTTCTTCATTTAAAGTACCTATTACCAACTGTCTCTCCACCTAGTTTTGAGTTGCTGTCATCCTGAGACGATTTAATCTGTGGTCCTCTGTAGTAGCGATATCTTGACAGGTATGAACTCTTATCTGACTTCAGGGTCTTGGGAGTGAATGGTTTCTCTTGAGTAAAGTGCTGGGAATGTTTTTCGAGCAAGTCTCCACTGTACGTCTTCTTCACAGGATCCTGGAAGGTCTTGTAGCAACCCTGATCTCTTGAAGCTACCAGCGAACATGTGGACTGCTTTCTTTGAAAAGTTGTGTCAGGGCTTCGGTATCTTCTCTCTGATGACGGGCGGGCATAATGGGAATTGACTGAACAGGATGGGTAAACAGTGTCCTTGGCATTGAAGGAACTGTTTAATCTCGGGGTGGAGGCCATGATGGAGCTTCTTGAGAAGTGGTAGGGGTTCTCATCATACTGCTCAGATAAATGAAAGATGCATTTTATCAAGAGTTGAGGAAGGAAGCAAATTTAACGTCATAAAGTATTGTATTGCAAAGCACCAACAACCAAATGAACAGAGTAAAATGTAATCTCATACATGCGCTGAGAAACAGGAAGTTCTGCTATTCCTATGTGAAGAAGAGAACGCTGAAGAAGGACGATCATCTTTCCACTGCTGTTGCTTTCTGATCTGATCATTGTCTGTAAACAAGTGTGATGACCATTAAAAAAAAAACAACACAAAATAATGTGTTTGATGACATTTATAATGGTCATCAATGGACCATTATAAATGTAAAACAAAGTTGTAATCATGTTTTAGGTTTTGTTTGGAATAACTTTAATCAATCCAAAGACAGGAAAAGAAAACTTTGTGTAGGTACGAATCAATCAAGAAAGACACTGTCCTAAAAAAGTCCTGACTTAGCTTTAAGTCAACTTGTAGATGTCCAATTAGTTTTGCAGGAATAACACTGGCAGCCCTCTATGCTTTTATCTTTTCATCTCCAAAATAAATATAAAGTTTTTGATTAAGCACAGAAAATTACAGTTTTCCTGATTATTTTGGGCCAGTTTTAATAACCTCAAAACCCAAAGAAGCTAACTGCTAAAGGATTATATTGATTCTTTTGTGGGTCAATTTTGTTTACTGAATAATAATTTGTTAAATGTTCCTGATTCATGCAACGTTTTTTTCTACAGACACGTGTGTAGTTTTAACAAGAAACCACCAGAAGGCAAGAAAAAAATATAACCGCTTAGTATTGCTGAGTAATTTAATCTCATTTGAGATTTGAATATTTAACTTCAAAGTCTATGTAGTGTTAACATAAAATGTCTACTTACAAGTGATGAATTAAAAACCTAAATAATTCCATTTTATACCAAAGTATGTAACTGAGCTTCCAATAAATGCTACTATGTGAGACATTAAAATGTAGTTTTAACATTTTGGAAAACAAAAAGGAAGACAATATAATTTGTGATCAGTTTTTTTTTAATTGAAACACAGTTTAATACTTGGGTACTTACACTTCACACTTTGCATCAAGCTTTTGGGTGCAGAGGTATCAATAGTAGCTGCAAAAGAAAGACAAAAACATAATAATTATTACAGTGAAACCTAATTAGCGTTAAATATGCTAAGATCTGTTTTTGTAATGATAAGTGGTTAAAAAGAAAGTACACCCTTTCCCTAATACATAATTCAGCTGTTCTTTATCAGGTTCTACAATAGTAAAATTTAACTTCAAAAGATGAGACAGAATCATAAATGGCATTAGGAAAAGACAAGGAAATATGTCCTAGACAGCCTATAGACCTATCATAACCAACAGTAGATGTAGTTTTTTTTTCTATTTGTCTTAATCAACCTCTCACATCATGTGAAAGAGTTCTGACCAACTCAGATCATTCACTTTCGCACAACTCTTAAAGTGCTTTTTCACCCTGTATTGCTATGCTGTGGTCAGGACCTGATTGTTATCTTTTGAAACAATGCTCTTGTAGTTTGCTGCTGTTGGGGATCAGTATCTTGTTTCATGACCCGGTTTCGTACCAAGCACCAGCTGTCACACCAATGGCCTCACGTTCACAGGTAAGGCCAGGATAGACGGAGTACAAAATCATCAGGTACAGTGGCTGTAAACTCAGGTCAAATCATCATAACCCCACTAATATGCTGTGTTATGTTTTTTTGCCAACTTTAGGGTGATGTATTCTGAGTAAACATCTCTAAATATTTCCAGAGGTCCCATGCTGCCATGCAGAGGTGGTTATAGGTCATGATCAGGGCATGGTCAAGTTATCAAGTGAATTAGCAGTCTGCTACTTCATGTACTTTTTTTTTTTTATTAAACATATATCTAAAATGTAGCTCACCTTTAGCTGAGTAAAGTTTTTTATAATGGGACAACATGTGATCTTTAACGATGGACTGAGCCGCTTTGCTGGAGGACTGAGGACAGAAAGCTAAAAAAAAAACAGGAGAAAATTTAATGAAGAGAAATGGTTCCTAAACATTTATCATGTAAAATGTTATTCTTCTATGGGTTACATTTTCAGGATTCCCAATTTGTGTGAACCAGTTCCTAAAGTTGAAAATGAATTTAAGACATGTATTTCTCGGTGGCCAGGACTCAAACAATATGACAAGGAAAAAAAGGAATGGACATACTAATAATTTCTTATCCAGACCTATAAAAATTATTAAAATCAGATTCCAGGTAGATAAATTATAAAACTAATCTATAGATAACTGCTGTTCCTTAGTGGGTTTACTTACGGACGTTTTTTATTTTCTGCCTTCTCACTCCAGAGCTGTCCTCTAGTCCAGATGATACACTCCCTTAAACATACACAGATGTTAAATTGGACAACTGCATACAGTAAAAATGGCCAGATGGTGCATAGTAGACACATGTAAATATCTGTGTTGTTTCTTCATGATGACAAGATAAAGGAGGAAATCAATCATTTATACATATACAAAAAAGGAGTATCTAAATATAACTATTTTATTATTTTTATGGGTATTTATGAGCAGGTAATGTAACAAATGAATAAACTATATGCAAATAATATCAAAACGTAAGTTAAGGAAAATATTATGCACTTAAAACTGTTTTTCAATATATTCAGCAAAGTCATTCAACATATGGTTTTGAAGTTAATTGAAACACTGCATCAGAAATAAGACGTATTCGTCCTCATTTGGTAAATAATATGTCCAAAGCAGAACCAGTAAAATTATTTCAGTTTGTTTTTCTAAAGTCTTCAGAAAAATTGCTTGAGGAGCCTAAAATGCTATGAAGAGCTAGCCAATGCTAAAAATTTCACACCTGTCCTTGACTCCATTGAAATGTTAAGTTCAAGGTATCCCATTTTCTTCAGATATATTCAAAAGGGGTGGCGGCAGGGGTCGGGGATATCCAGAAGCCTCGGGTTGTTCAAATGCGAACATGTTTACGGGGCAAAATGAGGTACTGGCTAAATAGCTTCAACAAACACTGAGCGAAGCTTTACTGTCGCCATGCTGGTTGCTAAGATGGGCTACGTAATGACGCCAGCTCACGTAAGAAGGGGGCAAATGGGATGAACCAAGAGGGAAGCATTATCGTTACGGTTTTACCACAAATCCAAATGATTTTGTTCAAATTCGGTGTTTTCATTCCTTATTTACCAAAGATATAACTTAGCGCTTAATTGTTGACTCAGTCACATGTAGAATGTGATAAATAAATCAGCATGGCAAAAAGTTAATCTAAACGTCTTGGTACAGATTGAAGGTTAGAACAGCGCCATCTGAGGTCACATTCTCCAAGGATAGCGGTTCTGGTTAAGCAGCAGGTGGCGACAGAGAGCAAGATCCAGTTAATAGAGTTGAAGAAGACGCGCTAGCGAACTAAAGACACGCACACGTGATTCGCGCTAACTGGAGAGCAAGATGGCGGTGGCTGTGCGGAGCCTGCAGGACCAGCTCGAAAAAGCCAAAGAAAGCTTGAAAAATGTGGACGATAATATTCGTAAACTGACCGGACGGGACCCTAATGAATCACGGTAAGCTAATAATGAACACAGTGAACATTTGTATTCGACAAACTTTTGTTATTGAAGCTATTAACCTTCCTTGAATATGTGCTAACTTGGTTAGCAGGAGGTGGCCAGCCTGCAGGAGCACACTGTTGTTTTGAAATGCCCATTTAAACTGTTCCGTTAATTAGATTTTTAAATCAAGAAGCCGTTTACACAGTAAGTTTTTATTATCTTAAATCTACAAGAGCGGAGTTGTTGGTCGGCAGTAGCCGATCGTGAGAATGCCACATCCGTTTTTTTAATAGCGCAAATTTGCTCTGCTTCTGGTGTAGGGCCCAAGCAGCTCTCAAAACAACGAATTTTCCCCTTTACCTGGCGCTAGTTTGCAGAGTCAATTCCTTGTTGACCATTTTGATTTCTGTGTTTACAGACCGGGTCAGCTGCGTCGGCTCAGTGGCCCCATGGTAGGCCTGGGAGGAGGTAGAGGAAGAGGAATCAATCTGCTCAGGTAATAATGGAGGGGAGGGGTCACATTTAAAAATAATCCAAAGTGATAGACGGGGTAGAAACAAGACATTTTGAATTAAACTTGCCTCATCTATACAGCCCAACTATGAAAGAAGAAAAAGAACGGTTTAAATAAAAACTAATGAATTGGCACAAAACGAGCAATAGATTGTGAAAACCTGTAGATAGGTTTGTTGGCAACATTTACAAACTAGTTGGATGTTGAACCAAATTATTTAATCTGAAAGAGTGTTAAACTTTAAAAAAAGACTTCTGTCCTGTATGCAGGTTTAAAAAGTGATGCATTAAAACATGAATAAAATTGTGACCCAAAATCACTTCATTTCTAAGCTGTTCCTCACGTTACAAAGTGTTAACAATCTTTGAATAATGATGAGAATAAATTTGAGTTAATTTGACTTGAAACACTTTATTTAACTTGTAGGATAATTCAGCGATTACAAACATGACAAAGGAAACAAAAAGACTTTTAGCTGATAAAATCCAACCCTATTATGAATAAGTTAATTATCTTTCTTATTTATTTGTTTTACTGTTTATTACCCTCTGACTTTAAACAATCCACTCCAGAGGACAAAACATTAGTGTAAGACGTACATAACTCATTTAGCACATTGCTCACCCCATATATGTATTTTGATATTTCTGTTGCTCAGGTTGGCATTAAACAGTGTTTCTGAAGATGAATGTAATCAACTTGATGTAATTTGGGCCCAAACTCTCAAAGACTGTTCTAAGTGGGTTGAATCCTAACATTTACACATGGGAAGGGTGACCATAAAGAGTAAACCTTTAGTGATTTTCTATTGATGAAAAATGTTTGTAGAATAACATAACAGTAGTGGTTATTCAAAAAAAAAACATAAGCTCCTGTTTGTTATTCCTAATACTTTGTGTTGTTTTTCAGACGCAGTCTCTCTGATATGGGCAGCAGCGGGCCCCCTGCCAAGCAAAGGGACATCGAAGGAGCTCTGCTGAGGTGAGAACAACATCGCTTAATGTGTTTTCAGCTGAGATCTTTCCCACATGTAGTGTTGGGAAAGGAGCTGGGATCTATAAAAGCATATAATTTAGTCAAGCTATCTAAAGGTTATCAATCAACATTTTTTATAAATTTGACTCCAATTTTGTTCATTTGTTTATGCTTACATCATCTGTTCCTCTTGTAGTTTGTTTGCCCATTATTTTCACTTATCCTTCTCATTCAAGTTAAATATTTTACCCTGCCCTTTTTTGCTGGAGATTCTATTTTTATAAACTGACACAACTCCATTTATGGACATGTGCAGATTTTTGCTATTTGTGTGAATCCTGGCTGCAGACTTGTTGAGCTGCATTTGTTTATTTTTGTGCAGGCTGGCAGGTGATCAGAGGGCCAGGAGAGACGTGCGTCATGACAGTGACGCCGAGGACGATGACGATGTCAAAAAAGTAAAATGCAACATTTGCTTTGCTTTATTATAACTTTACTGGATAAATACCTTTGTACTGTCTTTATTCCTTTGAAAAAAGGCTTATATTTTGTTTTTTTTTCTTCCTAATCATTAGCCGGCGTTGCAGTCATCTGTAGTAGCTACCTCCAAGGAGAGAACACGCCGAGACCTCATTCAGGATCAAACCATGGATGAAAAGGGGAAACAGAGGTAATCCAACACAAGCACACACACACACATCTATATTTTATATATATAAACACTAAATTTATCCTTTTGATCTAAATGTCAGGAATCGGCGCATGTTTGGCCTGCTGATGGGGACACTGCAGAAATTCAAACAAGAATCGAACGTCTCATCTGAGAAGGTGCGCAATTATTATTAACATGTTTGTTTTAGATCAAATAAACTTGTCGAGCTGCGAGTTTAATATGACAACATACACATCAGCAGGTATAGAACTGGATGATTCCTGTTGCATTAGTGGTTCCTTTCCTGGTAACTCATTACCATTTGTTTGGATCACAGCTAAAGCGACGTTCAGAGATAGAGCAGAAGCTCGAGGTTCAAGCTGAGGCTGAGAGGAAAAAAGTAGAGAATGAAAAGCGAGAACTGTTCGAGGAGAGAAGAGCCAAGCAGACAGAGCTGAGACTGCTGGAACAGAAAGTAGAATTAGCTCAGCTGGTAAGAAAATGTTATCACAGATGTACCAGTATAAAAACCTTGACATGCAATAATTACGGCTTTATAACTATCCATCTTACCTCCAACTATAGCAAGAGGAGTGGAACTGCCACAATAATCACCTGGTGAAATACATTCGCACCAAAACCAAGCCTCATATTTTCTACCGGCCTGGAAAAATGTGCTCCGCAACTCAGAAACTCCTCGAAGAATCCACCAAGAAACTCAATGGTCAGTGTTGAACTTTTTAAATTGTGTTTTGTGGATATCGGCGTTACAACTAATGGGACAGTTTGCAGCCTCCCTTTTAGAGCGTTTTGTTTTCCTGGGTTTCTTGGAAAAGATCTCTACCGACATGTTTTATAAGAACACAGTCTTAGGTGGCCACTGGTGCCATGTAATAATTAAGATGTGATTAGGGATTAGTTTTCTATTCACAGTAGTCATCTTAGATTTTTCCAAAATAAAGTAAAATTTAATATTTCATAATATTTAACCTTATTCATAAGGTGTGGCAGCATGCTGTGATCATTTGCATGTACAGGAAACCCTGAAGTTTATGGGTTGATGCTCTTTTACTTTGTGGTGGCGATAAATATTTCTAACAACATTTCAGAAATCCCAAGTTCTTTCTTTAAATAACGCTGATCTATAAAATTTTGTGTCCGTGCAGCTGTGTTTGAGGAAAGGCGTGAGGCATTTGCCGAACATTTGAGCAAGATGGAGTCGCGTCCCCGGCGCCAGCCGAACCGCGACCAGGATGGCAACTCAGCCTCAAGGATGGACCGCCCGGCGGAGGGTAAGCCAGCAGGTCAGGTAGAGAAGCGGAGAGGTAAAAGGGGGGAATCCAGGAGGGAGGAAGACGAGGATGAGGATGAGGACGACGAGGAGGAAAGGGAGAAGGAGATGGGAGGGGGCGATGCTGAGGAGGGGGAGAAGGAGGGGTTGGTTAAAATAGAAGAGGTAGAGGAGGATGTGATGGAGGTGAGAGAGGAGGGAAGCAAGGAGGAGGCAGGAGAGGAGCAGAAGGACAAGAGTGAGAAGGCAGCAAGTCCAGAGTCAGAGGAGATGGAGGTAGAGAAGGAAGACAAGGATAAGGAGGAAGAGGTAGGAACAGACAGGAAGCAGGAGTCCACAGAAATCCAAGCAGAAAAGACTCCAGACGTTCAGAGCTGTGAAGCAGCTGTTAGTAGCCTCGAAGTCCCAGACTCCAACGACGAGCCCCCACAGAGCCTCGCTGCGGGAGAACCACCAGCACAGTCACCCGGGACGGAGACCGCCTCTCCAAGTCAAGAACCCCAAACGGCCTTTGCTGGCCCTGCTCACGATCCAACCAGTGCCACACAGGGCAACATGGCTCCAGAGTCCAGCGTCCAGGACTCCACAGCGGAAAACCAGACAGAGGAGAGAAAATCAAAGGAGGATGAAGAGGAGGGCTCAAACAAGCTGCCTGATTCTAAGGGGGTTGATGCCCCTGCAAAGGAGGAAGGAGAGCAACAAGGCAGAGGAAGAAAGAAGGAGAAAGACGGAAAGAAACGTCGCAGTCGTAGCAAAAGCTCCTCTTCCTCGTCCGGGTCCTCCTCCAGTGGTAGCTCCTCCTCATCCTCCGGATCCAGCCGATCTTCGTCATCGTCTTCGTCTTCATCGTCCTCGACGTCCAGCAGCCGCAGCCGAGACGGCGGCAAGCGAAAGAGGAGGCCGTCCGATAGAGGCAGAGACAAGAAGAAGGAGGAGAAAAGTCGACAGAAGTCAGGAGGGAGAGACTCGGCGGAGAGGAAGAAGAGAAGGAGCGAGGAAAAGAAGGGCAGGCCGTCCCGGAGTGACAGGGAGCATAAAGATAGAGGAGACAGGAAGGACA